AAAAAAAAAAAAAAAAAAAAGGAAAAGAAAATGTTTACTCAAACCTCCCCAAGTGGTAAAATTACAGAAATAAGCTACCAGCCATGCCCAGAAGATAGTACTTTGAAAAACTAGCCATTTGTTAGATTATTTTAACAGTCAATTAATGAAATATGTTTGTTTCATATAATTTATTCTTCTAATAAAATAAGGCAAGAGCAATTTGAGAAATATTGCTAAACTAATAATAATTGTATGCATTTTCCTCACATTTTTAGTGGACAAATGAGCAATCCAACTATTAATAACATTAAAAAGTTCGAGGTCAAGGTAAGTATCACTTTGCAGACATATTCCTAAGATAAATAATATCCATTTTATTTATTTTATTTTAATTTATATAGTATCTAAGTAAAAGTCAAAAACTTTGGATTATGTTATGCATCAAACATTTCCTTTCAGGCTCTCCTGGTTGTTTAACAAATATATGTATCAAGAAAACAGTCTTATGAAACTGGTACACTCAGGAAAATGTAGCCCAAAATAAGTGTAGTTAATTTGCTTATAAAAAGTCAAGCTCATACAATTTGCAATTAAAGAGATAATGGTTTGCTTTTTGAATATATTAACTAATAATTGAGCAACCTTAATTGAACAATTTTTACTCTCTAAGCATAGTTTGCTCACTAATTTCATATGAATAAATACCTAACTGATAGGGTTATGCCAGAATGTAAAGGAAATGATATGCATGAAGTTTCTATTACTTTGTGTGGCAGTATAGCAAAAGATAAAATTAGAATATTTTTTCCAAACTACTCCTTATTTTCTACCATATTTTACAACAGTTTATAATTTCTTGACATTTGATCCTATATGGTCTATTTCTGAGTACGGCTGGGAGTGAAGTAGACTTTTTCTAAACTGGCAAGAAGTAAAATGCAAAGTGTTTATGAAGAATTGTTCTTGCATATTTTCTCAAATTGTGTACCAAATTTTACATGAATTTCAGAGATAGAAAAAAACCCAACAAACAATTCAATCTGTCAGTAAGATATTTTTTATTTGCCTGGAACATCAGAGCAATATAGCACTCAAAACACATGTCAAAAGAGAAGTGCTGAGGAATGTACTTCTGAAACAATACAGTTCTCACTAGAGCTCTTTACAACTTCTAAAGTTTATCTCTTACAGTTCTAAAATTTATCTGAAAAAAAAAAAAACTAATAGAGAAAAATAAGGCAACACCTTGATTCAAAGATGCCCCTCACTCAGGGGTGGCACATTTTGTTCTTTTATTAAAAAAATCTATACTATGTCAAAAAAAAATAAGAGAAAAAATATAATAATAAGTAGAAGGCAAATTATAGAATGTTAAAAATATTGGCACTAATAGATAAATATTCTATGAATGCACAAGTTTTGTGTTTTCAATTTTAACAAAACAGAGACACAGATGTCTTTGTTCATTACTGATGGCTCCATTGTCTACAAAGTTACTATCCCTTTCTCTTTTTGAGAAACTTCCTCTTTACTATGCTCTCTAAAGTTATAGTCTTTGCATCATCGTTGTTTAAAATAAATGAGCAAATTAATATCACTTATTTTGAAGTGGATGTCTTTTTGTAATCATTTCTTTTTTCAGTTGGTTGTTGAAAGTCTAAAGAAAATAGTCTTTTCCAAAGGTAATTAAAAATTAGAAAAATCTGTTTTACTGTGTCATCTGAAGACCTAGCTGAATGTAGCTTCCCTAAACTCTTATTCCTAAACATGACTGGATTGCATACTGTCAACCTTATATTCTGAAGTCAGCCACTTTTCTTTCATCTGACTCATTTTTTTTTTTTAAATTAAAATTTCACCTTCCTTCAATCTGTCTTTCAACAACTATTTTTAAATAGCTTTCATTTGTGTAAAATACGTTACAGGGAAATACACAAGTTAACTCAAATATTCAGGCCCTGCTCTTAGACAATGAATATTGGTTAAAGTTAAATTTTTCATAAACATAATAGAATGTTATAATTGATGTTTCGATATTAGACCTATATTCTAAACCTAGATGTGTCAAAGTCAAATAAAATATAGAGACAAATTTCCAAAATTACAGCATTTTATTTGGGATGAAAGAATGGCAATCTGGGGCATACATGTGATGTAGACCAGGGAGCCTTTAGTATGTCTAAAGAACAATGAAAATATTGGAGGTTTTATGAAAAAGAGCAATGTTTGTACTGCTTTTCTACAAAGTTCATTGTCCCTAGTAGGATTCTGGGGGAGGTGGCAAGCTCTCACTGGTGAGTAATGGCAGTGGGTTAAACTAGTCTTAGAGTTGCAGCAAGTTGTTTCAGTAGCCAGGAGGTAAAACTGGTTTTAGGTCACAGCAGGCAGTTTCAGCAGTCGGACTTACAGAGAATTACATTTTTACAGCAATTTTTTGTGCCCTGAGTGGTTCTTCTTTTTGGCCTCTTTCTTTTAGTTGCATGGGACAAAAAATGACTCAATTCATATGATCGACTTTCCCAGGGGCAATATGCCTCCACATTGTAGTTGCCTAAAAAAAAAAAAAAAATTGTGGGGAGAGAAAATGTGTTTTTGTAATTATAAAATAATTTTTCCACCTTGATTGTGTGAAAAGCATGGAAAATGGGATGAGAAGAGATCTTGTGAGGGATGGGTGTAAAAGAAGCCGTATTGTGAGTACCCCCACTGTACTAAGGAGAGGTCCTAAAACTATATGCTTGCTCCTAATATGGAGCCAGGCAAGAGGAATTTGGCTGGAACTTACAGAATATCAAGTTTCTAGCACTCAGAGAACAACTAAGTACAGTGGGACTTTGTTATAAGCTAGAGTGGATTTCACAAAACCCAAAAGCAATGAAGAAGTTCTGAGAGAAGAATCAGATGACAAAGCATCATCAGACAGCTCCCTCATCCGTCATCTCTATTTCGCTTGGCATGTTCACTTCCTTCAGAATTTTCTGCTCTGTCCTTGGTTTATTAGGAAGGAAAAAACAGTCACAAAGCCTTTCACAGATCCAGGAGCCGTAAGAAAGCATGTAACTTTATTGCTACCAAACTGATGGTTCCAGGGAAGTCTCTTGCCTCATGGCCAGGAGATTGGACCTCGTGTGTGATCATAGCTGCTAATGAAGCCGCCACTGTAACCATGGTGAGGAGAGGAGAGGCTACATAGGAGGTGGTGACTACAAAAGAAATGAAATGCTCTGTGCTAAAAACGCAATAGAGGATGCAACATAAACACAGGAGAAAAGGCTTCTAAATCAGACTTTGGTTGGAGTGGTGGAAGAAACATAAAAGTTGTCTCAAAGAAGTGACTTTGCTGCGTGCAACAGGGAACAGCTTTGCTATGGGGTTTATTTCCCAGTGAAAATTATTTGGTCATAAAGGGTGATGAAGTAGGCAATTTTCAGTTCATTTTTAATCAATTAACTGCATTCATATGTCAGGTTATTTTATTTCAAGGTTGTTATGAAAGAATTGTTTTTGTCTAGTTAGAATTTTAATATAATCTAGGAATCTTTGTTAATAGAGAAGCTAAAACATTTATATTCATTGTCATAACCAATATGTTGATTTTATATGTGTCATATTGTTTCATTTTATTTATGGTTTCATTGTCATATGTTTTTGTAATGTGTGTTTTCTGTTTTTTACATTTGTTCCATGAGAATCTGGCAAAGAAGATCAGTTTCTGGGAATAAATACCAAAATCACAAGCTTTGTCTTTCAAATCTGAAGTAGAATTTTCTCTGTTGAGTTACAGCAATTAGAATTGTATTATAGAAGTCAGAGGATGGCTTTTTATTTCTTCCTAGGTTATATCCTCCTCTTCCCTAAATTTATATAGTATTATTTTATTCCTTATCCTTAAAATTAAAAAAAAAGGTTATTTCTGACTACAAATCTCATTTCATTAATTTTCCCTATAGTATAAGTTCCCTGGATTTTTTTTTTTTTTTTTT